GAAGATAGTGTTGTGCATTCCCGTTTTTTACAGATGAGTGCTGAATGTCTTTAGAACATAATTTGATTATCTGTGATCGTGATTGAGCAGTAGAGCATTCTGATCAATGAAGAGTTACAATTATAGGTATATGTCAAAGTTACAACGATTGGTAATCCCTCCATTAAAAATATTCACTGATTGGGGAAGCTTACCGAAGGTTATAAAAGGAGCATCATATCTTAAGAACATTACAAGTAGCCAAATGAAGGACAGCCAGATAGCTTCAGAACTTACAAATGCTACAGGCAATTGTGCATAGCCAGAACTATTTCTGGGCGATTAAATAATATTTGCATATATGTACAAAATCCTGCTACGTGCATTTCACTACGAGCACGTCTTTCTCTGGACTAGTATAATGACCACATTCGTTGGGGTCAGGAACAGTTATTCAAAGAGGCGTCCTCTGACGAATTCTGATTCTGCATCAGGAATAATTCTGAACAGCAGCTAGTGTGAAGAAAGAAGAGAACTCGTTATAATCATTAAAATACTCTTTAATTGATGAGAGTGTAGGTGCGTATGATTGTTGAAAATGGTGTGGGAGCGTATTATCTACAATGCAGGACATTGCTTCACGTCTTTGATGTAGATGGAATGATATTATAAGGGTATCCACCAAGGTTATTCTAAGAACACCAAGGTTATTCTGGTTCATGTTTGTTTTTCCCTTAATGTAGTTTTTCGAGAGTTTCTGATCATGAGTGCAAATGCGTGCTTACTTGTTACAGCTGAAATATCCAAAGAACTATAACTAAAAGAATGAAGCGCATGACATGGTCTGCATATTCCTGGGCTTAAAATCCACAGAGTATGCCTGGAATGAACTGGTCTGACGTTTGTTATCAAAAAAATCACCCTCTACGAAAATCACCCTAAATGACGAGATTTCCATAGCCCTCTTTAACTGTTTAATGCATACATAAGAGATGGTAAATTTTACAGCAGTGTTCGGGGGAGACTTTGCCATTGAAAAATTTTATTTTTAAGTACTCGTATCTGTCCTTATTTAAACGGAAACGAGATTTTTTTGTGATCGCTTAAAAAAATTCATTGTTTTTTTTCCTTCTGTTTTGTTTCAATCTCTTTTTCGATTTGGTGAGATTTATAACAGTTTGCATAGCAAAGAATGCCTAGTTTTTTCTGACCAAACATGTACAGAATATCATTTCTTTATTCAACGTCTCTTACTAATTTCTTAAATATGTTTCTGCTTTTTTAAGTATGTGTCAAGCGCTGAAAGTTAGTGGCTATTATTTATTAAATTTTATGCGATTTCTGTATTCTCACATTGTATTAGTGCGAACGAATGAGATGAAGTCATCTTTATCGTTCGACTATGGATGAGAATGGACGGAGGTCCATTATCAATAGATCATTGTACAACTCTACTTGTGACTTGAATGTGAAAAACTCTCCGATAATTATAAATATTTCCGATGCTACATTTTCTTCACAATATTTGTCGCATTGAATGCGAACATTTTTCCACTATTCGCTATGTTGAATACGCTAAAATTTCATGCATTATATTCTCAATAATAACATTGTCTGCAAAATAAAAAAGGAAAAATATTCTTTGGTGAATAATTACGAGGCATCAGTCTTATCTGCATGTTCAGTGAACCGATAATGAAACTGAACATGTGAAACATAATTTCCCGGTCCTTTATCGTTACTTCGGCAACCTGTTTGAAAGTTAGAAGTGAAATTGAAAACTTCTCTAAAAAGGCGGGGTCGTGTTTCCTGTCAATGACTTATAAGATGCATTTTTAAAGATACGCCGTGTGTGTCACACCCATACTTGGCTACTCCAGATTAATTAATTTCAATGTTCTTGCTTGCAGATGCCTTTTTATGTCTTCTGAATTGATTGAAACCACTTAGTATTCGATTTATTAAATTATATTCAATATCAGCCGCAATTTCTAAATTTACTGATTGACAGTTCGTCCGACCTCAATTCCCCATCCCCTTTTACTTTTAGCTGCGTTATTTTCTTCGTATTCACAGATTGTAGTTGTATCTCATGTTGAAGAGGATTCTCTTTTTTATGCATTATATTTTGAACACAAATAAGAATAAAATTGATGATAAATTATAAATATTTGTTATTTCCATTAGTCTTGATACTTTGCGTGTAAGTTGTGCTCCGTAACTAATTTGATACTGTTGAAAGTTATATTATCTGCATACTTCAATTTAATCCATTGCTGTTTAAAAATTTTAATTCAACGTTAAATAATTGTTTATATTTTTCACTAATTTAATATAACCGAGCTTATCCGGAATGCAAAAGAATTAAGACTTGCACGCGCTTTAAGAATCAAAGAACAGTTTTTCAATCCCTGATCTCAATCTGTTTTGCTTCGTGAATCTCTTTTGTCAGTAAAGAGTATTCCATCTAAAATAAATCACTCTGTTATGAACCTAATAAAAATATATAATATACAAATATTTTATGTATAAAAAATATACATATTTTCATTACATATATATATATATATTTCCTAATGAAAATCTATAATAAATATACATTAGAAGCGACAATATTGTATCGATCATATAATTATTGTGAAGAACCAATAACCATAAAAGAATGTTTGATGAAATATTTATTTTTCTTTTTAAGCTCTCTAAATGCGCAGGTGTTGTTTTCTAGACATTTGTTAACTCCAGTGGTTTCTAGCTTTTAAGTTCTAGACATAATTTTAGGCATTTTTGATATTAGGATTTGTCTTACAATTTTTAAGAATAGGTCCTAAATTCGAGATGCTTTATCAAGTAAAAAAACTCTCCAATATTTTTACGGTATTCGGATTCTCTGATCGAACAGAGATTAGTATTTTTTAAAAATATTTTATGAATTTCTATTGGAATCATTCTAGTTCTTCCTGTATGAAATGCGTGCAAGATTCCGTATTCAATACTTTATTACAAATTGATTCTCAACATTAAATTTTAAGAAAAAGTGTGTAATGAATATTTCTAAACTTTTTAAGGATCTTATATATTAAACTATTATACGTATTATAATAATATGATATGACCGTTGGAGACTTTTCTAACAAAAAATTTGTTCTGAGCTTGGGTCCAGCTATTTTGGAGGAAACAGCTTTAATATTTTTATAAAAATATTTGCTTCTGAAATTGAAATCTGAAAAGAAAGTTCAATTAATGCATGTTCCGCTGAAACTGCGGAACATGTCTTGTATTGTAATTTATATTTTTGTAAAACAGAAAATTTTAAGAAGGAGTTAAAACGCTTAGGTATATCCTGGCCACTTATTTTGCCTTTGTTCGTCAATTGTTCTGAAAGCATTAATATCTTGAGAAAATTTGTTTACTGTACAAATTTTTAAAATTTATAGTTACCTTCCTTTCTTTATATATTTCCTCCTTTCCTTTTATTTATATTTGTCTCTTTTGTGTTTTTTTTCCTCTTAATTATGTTTTATTTTTTAAATTTTATTATTATTATTGTGTCATGTTGTTACCACTTACGTCTGTAAGCCTCATATTATGCAATGTGGAGCATTAGGAGTTTTGCAAATAAATTTATTTAAAAAAAAAAATAATGCATTTCATATTCATGCGCTTAACATTAATAATTTGCATTTTAACTAGTTTATATATATTTTAAAGGAAGATATCTCTTCTTAATTAGTATTTAAAAAGTAAATGGCATTATCTGATTTTTTTGTTGTTGTTGTTTTTGATATTCAAAAAGATGAGTTGCTTCAGTATGTTGTCTTAATGAGTTTTCCATTCATTTAAATTCTCATTTTCAATTCATGTCAAGCCGATTACTCAAGGAACGTAATTATTTTCTTCGGAATCCTCATCGCATTATGTAGATAAGTGAATTCACTGACAGTTTTCCTTATAGCAGATGGAATGGAACTGCTATTTACAAACGTTTTACCTTCCAAAACAATCGGTTACTTTAAAAAAAAAAAGTGGTATAATTTCTTGAATTAATTTGTTTTTGTCTTGACTAACTGCCAGTTTTATCGTAACAGTTACCTTGAACGTGACGTCAAATTTTTATTTTGTTTCTAAAAGTTTAAACACCTTTAAACTTTTTACTGAGTGCTTATTTTTTGTAAGCTTATTGTAGTAGCCATTTCCGTGAAAATAATATCTTCGCCATTTTTTTTTTCTTCTCTTTTTTGACTTTTATTTTATACATTAATCAATTGTAATCAATAATCATAATAGTTTCAAAACTGTTAGAATGACAGGGATAATTTCATATTTAGTTTCAGATAATTTGTCACATTTTTTCAATCGAATTATAAATAGCCTTCTTATTGCTTCTAGTGCGACATTAATAAAAGTAAAGCAATCAATCGAATTATAATAACTATTTTTTTTTTTAAATATCTCACTTTTTAAACTCGATTTTAGTTAAAATATTTATCCTAACATTTACTTTAAAATATATTAAATAAATCATTTAATATACGCTGAGGGGGAAGCGTTAAATTTCCCACTCTCTCCCTATTTTTATATATAAGCGATCCCTTGTTCTTTTGAGGACACAAGAACAATCGAGAATATTGATGTGTAATTTTGCAATCTTCTTTAGTAAATTTATATTAATAATTTGGATAACGATCGGAAGACTTTTGAATTTAAAATTATATTAAATCGAAATTAAAATTGAAATAAAAAGCACATGTAATTTTTCAATTTGATATTAATTTCGACAATAATATTTGGTTGTGAAACAAACCGGTTTTCGATTCAATCTTGGTTGAGTTAGACGCTTAAGTTTATTTTATATTATTATATTTTTAAGTTTTCAAAGTATGTACACTCATTTTTATTATTTGATCATTCATATCATACATTGTGTGAATTTGAAATGTTTTTTAACTGATTCTAAGTGTGTATTGCATTCCACAAATAATGAAAATTGAAGATTAATGACTATTCATTCTCAAAAACCACGTGGGGGCGTAGCTCAGATGGTAGAGCGCTCGCTTCGCGTGCGAGAGGTACGGGTATGGATACTCTACGTCTCCAATAAAAGGTTGTTTCGGAAACCTTAAAAATATTTTTAAAACGAGGTTCAAAATTACGAGGTCCGTCGCCAATAGCCCTCTTGTTGCTTCTAGTGCGGCGTTAACATAAAACTAAATAATTCGATATAAAAACCAACGTTTTTAAAAACAACGTTTTTATATGGTGGCAAAGTTTATTAGAGAAAATTATTGAAATATTAGTTAAAACTGTTAGTTATTTTTAACTTTAAAATTTACTTAAAAAGAGGCATTTGTGAGAGTATTAAGAAAATCATAATACTCATAAAATGAAAACATGCATTTGAAAGTTTGTAAGTCATTCTATTAAAAAAAGAATGGGAACCAGAATGCAGAAAAAATTATTGTGATAAGACATGGCGCCAAATATTGGAAACTTTCTTTCTTGCGAATGATTACTGACTAAAAGTCAGCAACCCTTACTATCTCGGAGATAGTAAAGGGGAGATAGTATCTCCCCTTTGTGAGTACAAAAGGTTTACGATACCTCATGCTGCGTGGGGAGTGCCCGGTGCTCCCAGAGAGGGAAAGAAATTTTTTCCTCAATCCTAAAAGCGCAGAGAGGAAAGAATATTTTGACTTATTAAAATTATTGAAATATTAGTTAAAACTTGTCGAAAACTTCTAAATATTGCATTGTTAGTCGAGTACGAACGATTCCCAAAATTTCAAAGATCTAGCTTAATGGGAAGTTGGTTAAATTAACGATCGAAAATTTGATGACACACACACACCAAGTGAAATTCAGAAAAACGTTGTAAAAACTAAACTCAAAAACCATTTATTTCCATTCATTGCAAGAAAACTTTTAGACGAGAAAAAATTACATCCGCAGTCGGTAGGATTCGAACCTACGCGGGAAGATCCCAATGGATTTCTAGTCCATCGCCTTAACCACTCGGCCACGACTGCACACACACTCTGTCGGGAAATGAATTACCTAAATGAAAGGGTTAGCATTTAATGCGCTAGTATGTGTAATTTTAAGTTCGAAATATATATATAATTATTAAATTATGTTGAAATTATTTATTTCTGTGCATGTTGTTTTAGCATTTTATTTCCTTTCTAAAAGTGGCAAAACATAAAATGTGACTAAAATTGCTTGGTTGAATAAATCCGGTTGAGATTTTTTTTATTGTAGTTCTTATGATTATTTTTCATTCCGAATAAGACTTGAAAAAAAATGCAAAATTAAACAAATAGGAGAAAAAATAACGATATACATTATAATATCTTTGTGGTTTAAATATCGTATAGTAATCGCTATTTCGACTAACTTTTTTCTTCTTTTTTTAGGAATAGGGTGATTTGCTGTAAAATATCAATTGAGCCGTCATTTTTTCCCATCTGCTTACAATTCTAAAACTTATCAAATTGATTTGTTTGGTTAAGAGAATGGAATAATTTTAAATCTTCCAAAAGCGCTCAACATGGTCGACTGTGATAGAATATATTTTTTTCACAATAAAGCTCATAAGAATAGTTTTTCTCAATTCGCTAATTAATCGGCGTTGGGGTGGTGTGGATGTTTGGAGAGGGGGTGCCAGCTCTGGTGTCGTCCTTATCACTTGACCGTGGTTCAAAATTACGAGGTCCGTCGCCAATAGCCCTTGTGTTGCTTCTAGTGCGACGTTAATAAAAACTAAACTAATCGCTTATTAATCGGACATTACAACTACACATGCATCGAGGCCTTTGTACTCCCTTCCTCTCGAGTTGAACTTTTTTTTACGAACTCCTGAATTTGAACACAAAGTAGTAGTTAATATTTTTAACAACTAATTTTTAAATTAAATACTCACTCAGAACATTTACCTAAGTGTACCTAACTAGAAAACTGGTTTCAAGTAATCTCTAGAGGGCATTTGTAAGTTAATGATAAATCTGATTATATATATGTGTGTGCGTGTGTGTGTAAACACACGCACACACACTTTTTCATTTGTAACAAATGAAAAATTAGTTACGACACAAAGAAATTAGTCAAAAGGTGCTTATGGTTCTAATTAGAGCAAAAGAGAAGCTCAGGGGTAGAGTAAGACTTTTTTAAGGAAGCAGAACTAAAAGAAGTAAATCAACAAAATTGATACAGGAGGGAAAATCGTAAAAAGCAACCGAAAATAGATGAGTAGAGACTTGAGTCAAAAAGAGAAGGGCGATGAAACGAAACCTATAACTAATTTTGGAAGAGACGCGGCAACGAAACAAAAGCTGAAAAAAAAAAAAAAAGATAACAAAAATTCAAGAGAGCAGGTGGAATTTCAAAGAAGTCCGAAACGTGTGAAACAAAAAACCAGTCGGCAATTGTAAAATCGGATCGCTGTCCAAATAAAGAGGCGATAAATTAACGAGAATAAAATAAAAAAGGGGGATTCTTTATGTCTGAGGCAAGAGGATGAGTGACGAAGGATCACAAACCCCTGATCGTAAAGTGCAGGCGGTGATTTTCGACACAAAAAAAGAATCGATAAAAATCCGACTATGTGGAGACGAACAAAAGTTTGTCTTTCAAGCACAGTCTTTTAAGTTTTTTGTGGGAGAGGTTCGACCAATTTAATATTTTTTTATTTATCTTTTTGGGGTTTGAATGTTTTGGATTGGAAATAAGACACTATTTCTTTAAAAGGGAAGTGTTTCAATTTTTAGTTTTTTAAAGGTACAATTTTGAAGATCTATCGATCAGTAAACTTAGCTGTACATTCAACTAAATTTTGGTCGAAATGCCAAATTTTTAAGAGTTGTAAGGATTTTTTTTCTTGCATAAGTGTTTTCCGTGATGATTAAAATAATGTTGAAAGGTTGTTAACGCAACGCAGAAAGTTGATATTAAAGTTGGAATTTATATTATCGCTCAATTTATATTAATAGTGTAATTTGCCTTTCATTTAATTCGCGGTTTATTAACCGTAGACCCCTGACTACCGTGACTTAACGGGGTCCGACTGTGTATACATGCAACATACTTAGAAATAAATAATTTTAACAACTTAAAATTATTGAACCCTTACATAAAACTTTTGATTACATTAAAACGAAATTTATTTTATTTTAATACGAATTTTACACATCACAACTTATTTCAAATATTTCGAACTTGAACAATGCTTCTTATTACTAACATTTTAAATACTAATCTGTTAATTTTGGTATTTCATTTCCGGATACATTGTGCGCGCAGTCGTGGCCGAGTGGTTAAGGCGATGGACTAGAAATCCATTGGGATCTTCCCGCGTAGGTTCGAATCCTACCGACTGCGGTTGAAGTTTTTTTCTTCTCTTGGAAGTTATTTTCTTGTAATGAATAGAAATAAATGGTTTTTGAAAACGAATAGTCATTAATTTTCAACTTTTAGTAATTTTGGAATACAACGAATTTTTAAATAATTCAATGAATAATATAACTGTGAGCAAATCTGTTTTATCAAAACGTAAAAATATCAAATCCTTAGCTGCAATACATGGTATCCAAAAAAAGTTTTAAGTGTCTAATTTAACAATCGGAATTGACATCTAAAAACAGTTTGTCTCTGAGATGGTAAATTTCGAAGGTTTTAACGGCATTGTAATTTTTTTAAAGTGTTCAATAGTCATGTCGATGTTTTTAAGTGAAAAAAAAAAAGACAAAAAATGAATTGAAATTATTTTCTTTTGAGCGTGGAATATATGAAATATATCTTAAAAGCTAAGCGATGAAAAAAGAGGGATTGACTACGAAACTTTTCTGATAAATGTGAACACATTGTTTTTCTTCAAATTCCGATTTGCACATCTAATTTATTTGAAAAGCTTCTTGAAATTAAACAGTTTTAGTGATAAGAGTATTTGTATAAAAATGGGTTCACATTTAATTTTTGTGTATCATTATTTTGAAAGAAATTTCTGTAGGAATAAATTTAAGAAAAAAAAAGGAAAGAAAGAACAAGTGGTGTTGCAAAGAACGATATAATAATATTAATAAACTTTGTAATATAACACTTTATTATGAATGAATCGTTATAATACGCGTGTTAAAAAATGCAAATAATATAATATATATGTACGGCAAAAGGTTTTTTTTTCTAAAATAAAGTTTTTTCTTATTATTTACCCTTTATCCATGGCTCTTGGGGTTTTATTCTCAAGATCAGACCGTTTTGATTAACGCCATTCTCTCTGCTCTTCATCAATGGAAAGCCTGTTTATATATTCATGACTTTACAATTTTTTTTTATCTTACTGCGGGAGTAAAAAAAAAATGTTTTGTGGAATCTATCAACTGTAGAGCGAAAATATCTGGGTTGAGCCTCCGAGGTGCAAGATTTGACTGATCGCCGAAGGCTGTTCGCGTAAAAAAAGAACAAACAACCGGTTAATTCTCAAAATATACGTGAAATCTTCTGCAAAGAAATTATTTAAGTTTAAAAAAAGGGTGTTCTTTTCACATGCCCAATTCTTTCAATTTTTTTTCTGAGTTCATCCCTGACCTGCATGTCTCTTCCTTCTCCCTCCCGCCTTTTTTGAAATCGAGACTACAGCTGAAGAAGGGAATAAAATAAAGAACAAACACTTTCTGCGAGAAAATACTTCTAGTTAGTTCGAGGGCCTTGTTCCGACTGGCACGTGCGAGTTTTTAGCGGGTGCACGTGTGAGAGAAAACATATCTTTTTTTTTTTTAATTTCCTTTTTTTTGAAATTTTTTTTTTTTTTAAAAAAAAAAAAAAAACAGTAGCTGCACAGTAGAGCTGCACAGTAGTTCCATGACATTATTGGATACCATCCAGAAAAAAGCAAGCAAAAAAAAAAAAAAAAAACCGAAAAAACAAAAGCAATATATAGGTCTTCCTCAAATACCAACTAGACGAATGAATGAAAATAATTTAGCAAAAGCGAGCGTATTTGACCTAAATCCAGACTTTTTTTTTCAGAACCATCCACAGTAAATCGGGAAGCCATCCAAAGCACCATTCATTCTACGTCGCTCTCCATCGCGGTGTTGTAGACT